ATTTGATTTGAGTTTGCTCTTTCAGAGACAGAGATTATGAAGAAGCATTCTGAAATGTAAATATAAAATAACAAAAGATTGTAAGTCATAGTTAAATAAGACCATAGTTTAACAAGCACGGGGCATATCTTATGTTAATTTTTTTATCAGTAAATACAAAATGATTGAACAAATAGTTTATTTTGCACATTTAACATACACAGATCAGAAATAACTAAGTAGTTATTACATTCTGTTTTATTAAAGATACCAACAGTAATTTTTAGGCTCACTGAGCTTTTCTTTCTATTTGTTATATAAACAATGCCTTTTTTTATACATCTCTTGCAGGTACCTAATTATTATGGTCACAGTTTAACTCTTACCAGCTTCTAGGATGTGTTATGGAAATGTAATTTAGATTTATTAATTTTTTTCCTATTTTCAAAAGTAAACCAATACTATTGATTTGTTTCCTACCTGTTATCCCTAAAATAATTACAACAAAATTACTATTACATTTAAGCATATTTATTCACAAGAGAATAAAATATTATTTTGTTCAGACGAGATAAAGCAATTTTTGAATAATTGTGTATATTAAACTGCTTGACAAATCAAATAAAACTAGCTCAAATGCAACAAAATATTGCAAGTAAATAAATAAAATAACTTCATGAGAATTATAAATTTACACAAATAACTGCTGACTTTCAAACCTATTAGAACGTAAGAACAGAGGTGCCCAGCAATTGTCTTTGTGGTTTCCCTGGTATAATTCAAGTGTGATTGCAATATAACAGTCATTAGCTGTTTTTATTACTAAAAGCCCGTAGATATTTGTGGCCACAAAATGCCAATTAATTTTAAACCTTTTGGTCCAAATATTTGTAGCCTCTTGATACCAAACAAATGTTACCATTTGGCTATTATCAATCTGAACAAAAGCAAGAAAATTTTATCTTTCTAAGTAATCACTATAGTAATCGCAACTGAACAATATAAAAAGGAGCACATAGAAACATAGAATGTGACGGCTGATAACCATTCGGCCCATCTAGTCTGCCCAATATTTTGAAATACTTTTAATTAGTCCCTGGTCTTATCTTATAGCTAGGATAGCCTTATGCCTATCCCATACATGCTGAAACTCCCTCTACCACTTCAGCTGGAAGGTTATTCCATGCATCCACTGCCCTCTCAATAAAGTAATACTTCCTGATATTATTTTTAAACCTTTGCTCCTCTAATTTAAGAATATGTCCTCTTGTTGTGGTAGTTTTTCTTCTCTTAAATATAGTCTCCTCCTTTACTTTGATTCCCTTTATGTATTTAAATGTTTCTATCATATCCTGTCTCATCTTTCCTCCAAGCTATACATGTTAAATTCCTTTAACCTTTACTGGTAAGTTTTATCCAGCAATCCATGAACCAGCTTAGTAGCCCTTCTCTGAACTCTCTCTAAAGTATCAATATCCTTCTGAAGATACGGTGTACAGTACTTCGTACAATACTCCAAGTGAGGTCTCACCAGTGTTCGGCAGTGGCGTCTCTAGGATTCATTTTTCGGGGGGGCACATGGAGGGCCAGTGACAAAAGTAGGGGGGCACATTTAACCCCGCCCTCGCTACAGTTTGACCCCGCCCCTGTCGCATGTTAAGTCACGCCCTCGACACAATGTGTTTTGTTTTTTTAATAATACCTGGTGGAGGATTCATTATTTTCCACCAGGCATTATTAAAAAAATAAACACATTATCCTTGATACAGTGCCATAGTTGCCAACATTTGAAAAAAATTTCCAAGGACATTTTGCAGCACAGCTATCAATTACTGTCTGGGTATAATATCCCTGGACAATCAGTGCTCTCTGTATAATACAGGGTTGTATGTATAATAAATTGGGACACTCAGTGCTCCCTGTATAGTGCTGCTCTCTGTATAATACAGGTCTGTTTGTGTATAATATCCCAAGACAGAGAGCAGCACTATACAGGAAACACTGACTATCCCGGGATATTTTATACACACAGATCTGTATTATACAGATAGCTAAGCATATACCCCAATCTCTAGACTACTAGTACCTGTCAACAGCAGCTCCCAGACGCATGTAACAGGGCTAAAGTGTGCGGCAGCTCACACAGATTATTCAGCGGTAAAGTGCACTCGCTGGCAGAGCCAAACTGGGAATCCCTGGGAATCCAAAGCAGCCCTGGAAAAAAAACGTATGCCATTCCTACAAGTCAAAAAAAATAAAAAATAAAAAATATATATATATATTACAGTGAGCACACAAGCTCACTGACATGCGCAAATAGGCTTACTGACAGACAAAACTCTCTGACTCACACACAAGCTTACTACAGACACTCACTTGTATAAACAGAAGGCTCACTACAAAGAAGTTCAGGGACACACACACAAGCTCACTAAAGACAAGCTCACTGACACACCCATGCTCACTAAATAGAAGCTCACTGACACACACAAGCAGTACCATTTTTTACAGAGTTAAGGGCCCCTGGGCAAAGCAATGCACTGGAGCCCTTCCTACACAACAACTCACAGGAATTTTAATTATTGATAGACTGCGGAGTCCATACACACACACACACACAGACTGCTGAGTGCACACACACACACACAGACTGCTGAGTCCATACACACACACACACACAGACTGCTGAGTCCATACACACACATACACACACACACACACACACACACACAGACTGCTGAGTCCATACACACACACACACAGATTGCTGAGTCCATACACACACACATACTGCTGAGTCCATACACACACACAGACTCTGCTGAGTCCATACACACACACACACAGACTCTGCTGAGTCCATACACACACACACAGACTGCTGGGTCTATACACAAACACACACTCTGCTGATTCCATACACAAACACACACAGACTGCTGAGTCCATACACAAACACACACAGACTGCTGAGTCCGTACACACACACAGACTCTGCTGAGTCCGTACACACACAGACTGCTGAGTCCATACACACACACACACACACACACAGACTGCTGAGTCCATACACACACACAGACTCTGCTGAGTCCATACACACACACAGACTCTGCTGAGTCCGTACACACACAGACTCTGCTGAGTCCGTACACACACACTCTGCTGAGTCCGTACACACACACTCTGCTGAGTCCATACACACAAACACACACACTCTGCTGAGTCCATACACACAAACACACACAGACTGCTGAGTCCATACACACACACAGACTGCTGAGTCCATACACACACACAAACACACACACTCTGCTGAGTCCATACACACAAACACACACAGACTGATGAGTCCATACACACACACAGACTGCTGAGTCCATACACACACAGACTCTGTTGAGTCCATACACACACAGACTCTGTTGAGTCCATACACACACACAGACTCTGCTGAGTCCATACACACACACAGGCTCTGCTGAGTCCATACACACACAGACTGCTGAGTCCACACACACACAAAGATGGCTGAGTCCACACACACACACACACACTCTGCTGAGTCCATACACAAACACACAAACTGCTGAGTCCATACACACACACACACACACACACACAGACTGCTGAGTCCATACACACAGACTGCTGAGTCCATACACACACACACAGACTGCTGAGTCCATACAGTGTGTGTGTATGGAGATAGTGTATGTGTGTAGAGCGTATGTGTATGGGGGGGCAGAGTGTGTGTATGGGGGGCAATGTGTGTGTATGGGGGGGCAGTGTGTGTGTATGGGGGGCAATGTGCCACAGACAGCCCCCAGCACCTCAGCACTGCATTCCCTCCCCGGCTGTAACAGGCTGTTACAGTCTGAGGGAAGCCCATGGCTAGCATTTGGGGGGGCCCAAGGGGGAGCACAGCATGATGTGTCATTTAGCCACTGCCTTACCAATTCAACAATATTGTAATCCAAACTTAAAGATTGCAGATTATTGATGAGCCTTCTATGTGGAACAGTGTCAAAAGCCTTACTGAAATCTAGGTAGGCAATGTCTACTGCATCACCCTGATCTATTATTTTAGTTACCCAATCAAAAAAAAATCAATAAGATTAGTTTGGCATGATCTCCCTGAAGTAAACCCATGTTGCACTCTGTACATGGGCCATTCAACTGCGATCATCTGAGAACCCCGGTCATAGGAAGTCACAGGGTATTAGAGAGTCATGCATCACAAAGAGAGGAGAAGGTACCAAGTGGAAAAGTAGTGATCTGCCACAAGGATACCTTTGCCAACAATATGCAAGAATGCATGAAGGACAATGTGGGATATGTGGAAGGCATAGACGGTTGTTGCAGTGTGCCTAATAGAATGTCCTCATGCCTCACCGCACCCCCTATGAAATAAGCAGCTTATTGGAGCCGAAACACATCACATCCCCTTGCCAATCATTGGGTGAAACACGTCTCGGAGGCAAAAGAAGACATTTTAAACTATAGCACTTTATATGGTTTGAAGTGTATCTATAATTTTTTATATTTTCTTTGCATTTGTTGTTTTTAAACCATAATTAAAGTATACTTAATTAAAAGATGAGGGTCTTCTGGACTGGCTTATATTACTTCTGGGTTGGATATCCATAAAGGGGGCTTGTCACTCCTTATTTGACAATCTGTGAAAATCTTGGAGCCAGCACACTATGGGCTCCTAATAAAGGTGAGCAAAACTAACACATTTATATGCTACCTATGTGTCATTAAGAGACTATACTATCTTCCACTTTTTGTATTCCCTGTTTTATATACACATTATATTGGAGTACAACAAGCGTCCAATTGAAGAGGTTGCGTTGCCGCCTAAAGGCACAGAAAACGTGTACATTCAGAGCCATAGCATTCAAAAGGCATTCATTATTATTTTTAACATTCTCTGTATATCCATCATAATATACCACACTATTATACCATTTGAATGTGGACAACCATCCCTTAAAAATATACAGATAAGGGGGCGGGGCCTAACCGCCGACAGGATCAGACGTGCTCCGTCTGAGCTCCTGCTTCTGGGCCGGAATGTCGGTGCCAACTAGGTACCAAATGCAACCACTGACCCATACTGGTGCCCACAGCGACCCCCAGCAGCTGGGGTTCATGGGGATACCACTCAAGACCCTGTCTGGCATTCCAAAGTAACCCGACAAGGCCCGAAGCGCTCTGGAGCTTGATCCGGGTAGGGAAGGCCGCTCTCCCGGGTCTCCGACCAGTGTCTCGCTTACCCCTCCCCCCCCTGGACCGGCGGGGTTATCCCGGTCCCTACCCAGTGGCCACGGCAACCACAGGACCACCAAGACCCAGCAGCATTGCTACCACAATCAGCAGCCTAAGCATCACACCAAAGATGGCGGACACCATGCGTGCCGAAGGCAATGAGGGGGCCAGCAACAACAACCCAACGCTCCCAACACAAACAGCTTACAGGTACAAACTAGCCTGCTACCCACAACAGTCAAGGATAAACCCCCAGCAAGGCGCCCTGGCACGATACTTACCATTGGGGACACAATCTTGGACTTCAACTTTAGCTCCAGGGCAGGCCCGAAACGGGAGGGTGAAACAGAGGCACAGCAAACCAGCACACACACCACACTGGAACACACCGCAGACACACAGGCGAACACCTACACCCCAGACATGCAGGGGAGCCGGTCTCCCATACAAAGAGCCTCACTCGACAGAAGACTGAACACCGCTTTACCACCAGCACAGAAAAAGACTCAAAGCACAGAGACAGCCGGTTCGCAGCATGACCTCCCATCACCCTTAGAGGGCTTCAGCACAGCGTAGAAATAAGCATCTGTCCAGCTCCACAACCCTACCGTCACCTCACCAGTGGTACACATGGAAGTGATGGACAATGCTATTAAGGCAAAGTGTGGCATGGGATAACGGCAATTACAGAGCTCCATGAAGCCGGACACAGCGGGATAATAAACTCCCTTGTCTGCCTCGACATGTCTATTGCAGCAACAAGCAGACCATAAAAACGGATGCTATTTGACACACCAGAGTATCCTGGAATATAACTGTATTATGTATAATGTTTTTGCCTAGCTTAGCTTAAATTTAACATGCAATATATGGTAGGGATACCATATTAAGTGTGCATACATCACTGCCTCCCTGAATGGGTTTAGCTTGCCTCTTGGTCACACATACACCACACCACCCTGTTAAAGATGTGCAACTAGTTTTTTAAGATGGCCACCTTGCCAGGTGCAGTCCTATCATCCTGTAACCCACTGGTTTAAACTTTAATTGCATCACTCTATACATGTCAGTACTGAATAGCAATGTCAGATACCTATCTGTATGTTTAAACATGGTTAATATCTTCTCATTTAAAAAAATGTGCATATAATCTTTCATACTTCTTTGATGCAAGCAATGAATATAAGCGTGAGGTTTTTTCGTCGGGGTACCCCACGCGTTTTGTACTGTTTTTAATGCACTGCAAAAATTAAACATTTTAAAATTAAAAAAAAAATAATATATATATATATATATATATATATATATATATATATATATATATATATATATATATATATATATATATATATATATATATATATATATGTAAGCCCTTAAAAACTTGCATGAGGGTGTATTTAAGCACTGCACTTATAATTCATTAATATGTTTCTATTTTTCTAAATGTTTTTGGGTTTTATCACCTAAACATTTGAATTTTTTCGCTTTGGTTTCTAATCTGTGGGTCTGCAGGAGTACCTACTAAGTGTTACACCTGCTATCAAACACTGTTCTGTTCTAGTTTTTATTTTAGAAGCACCTAATATTTTCACACCCTTTCTTTTTTTTTTTTTTTTTTTTTAAATATATTTTAGGATGGAAATAGTTAAGGACGGATCATTGAGAAAAGCTGGATTTTAGATCAGTTTTAGTTAAGATAATGGTTGTTTTAGGTAGTTAACAGTTCATTGGTTTTAAATCATTATTATGAAATAATTTATACATAATAAATATGTATTCATACTACTGGTAATTGTCATCCCATTGACTTCCTCAGATCCATACTTTAATACCTATATTTGAGATTGACTATTGTAGAGATTTTGGTGCATAGGTACAACCCTTTTTCTTTCACATTGTAAAACATTGCTGTTTTTGTCATCAGACACAGCAAAATGATGCCGAAGAAGTAAATTACATCTAATAAACACTGTATTCAACACTTCTCTATTGGAAGATAGGTTTGAATAATTTTTGGCACTTGGAGTTGATATTGTTAAAAAGTCATGCTGTAAGAATTGGAGTTAAATAAATCTGAAAATATCTTTACAGCCTTGCACTAAATATTTATCGTACTATTTGAATGCAGCAATGAGCATGTACTCAGCAATGAGTAAACAGCCATTAGCTAAAATGCAATTGATTCTCTACATTAAATATATATATGTGTATATATATATATATATATATATATATATATATTTATTATGAAAGACTGGTGTGTACATTATATTTTAGGTAAAACATTTTAAAAAGTCAGATTGCACAGATCATAGTAATATTATATATGACTGATTAGCATTTACATCCTATATACACCAAACACTGAGATTTAAAGTCAGATTTTCCTTTGTCTAGTATGTGCACAGTGCATCTGCTTTTGACACTTGAGTGATTCATTAGTTTATATGCTTGAAAATATCATTCCATTTTTATTATTTATAAAAGTTCTAAAGCGCTAACAAATTTCACATCGCTGTACAATGGGTGGACTAACAGACTTAAAGGACCACTCTAGGCACCCAGACCACTTCAGCTTAATGAAGTGGTCTGGGTGCCAGGTCCAGCTAGGGTTAACCCATTTTTTCATAAACATAGCAGTTTCAGAGAAACTGCTATGATTATGAATGGGTTAAGCCTTCCCCTATTTCCTCTAGCGGCTGTCTCATTGACAGCCGCTAGAGGCGCTTGCGTGCTTCTCACTGTGATTTTCACAGTGAGAGCACGCCAGCGTCCATAGGAAAGCATTATGGATGCTTTCCTATGTGACCGGCTGAATGCGCGCGCAGCTCTTGCCGCGCGCGCAGCTCTTGCCGCATTCACCCAACGGGGAGGAGAAGAGGAGGATCGGAGGACTATAGTGCCAGGAAAACAAGTATGTTTTCCTGGCACTATAGTGGTCCTTTAATTGTACAAGTAATTGTAACTTGTCGAGTTGGACGCACAGGAACAGAGGGGTTGAGGGCCCTGCTCTAATGAGCTTACATGCTAGAGGGAGTAAGTAAGAAAGTAAGAAAGCTAAGTTGCTAGATAAGTATTCACTGCGGGTTTAGTGGATTTTTGGTTTGTTTGTTTACAGTTGCAGGAGATGAATCAGGGTGTACATCTTGTTATATATATATATTTTTTTTTTTTAAACTTACAAGTTGCACAGCTGCATTTATTTTGCAACCTACAAAGAAATATAAGCAAAGCTATACAACGACTGTAAAATCTAGAGAAGATTAATTTAGAGAAAAATATGCTGGTGTACATTTTTAATTTGTTTTGTTGCATTTTCATCTTGCACAGTTTAATTTGAGCTATTATAGCAATGCTATTCCTAATACTAGTTTGTTTCTGTGTTCAGACATTTATTAAACTATTGTAAAGCTAATAATTAAATCCGCTTATTTTGTATTTTAAGAAATAAGGATTTTGTTTTCATTTCTATATGGGATGCTTTTATTTGTAAATAATACACATTCAATTAAGCATAATTTTTAACAAAGTAAGAAACTTTAAAGCAGTTACAAATTCTTTTCACAGTTTTGCCAAAGAACATTTTTTAGCGGTACCGTCTTTACAAAAATAGAAGATCATAAATGTGTCTTTTCCAAAAGGTTTTAGGAAAAGAATCTTTAGTTGTCATATCAGTCAAACTAATTGCAGAGTGTTAAACTGGAAAGAGTATTAAGTTTAGTACAGCAGTACAATCAAACCAAAATTTTAGAGAGGTCAAGCCATTATTTAAACCTTTAAGCTCCCATAAAACTTGTGTGAATGTGACATATACTTGTATCTCAGCACTACAATAAATTTAAAATTCTATAAACTATTGCAATGTTCCTTTTACCACGGTAATACATATTTTAGCAGTCGCTGGATCACTAGCAAAAAATGCCACAAGTAAAACCAAATGGGAATATGCATTATATATTACTGAATATTGGGATACTGGCCAGAAGCTGGTCCCTTAAGGTTGCTATCTAATATAATATTGCTTGGGATGCAACACTTGTACTGCACTGTGGGTAAACACTGTAACTCATTTTGGAAAGTACAAAATAGTATTTCAACAGAAGGTGTTTAACAGTTTTCCGTTTAAAGAAACAAAAAGTAGGGTTTCTGTGTTATATAGGATAAAAAATACAGTTCTAAATATTTCAGATTTGTTAAAGGGCAACTACAGGCTGGGCTTATGGATTGTGTGGCTGATACATTTAATGTCTATGCAAAGTCATTTTTGCATGTGATGGGCATTAAGTTAGAAACTATTGAATTAAACTGGTTAAATGATTAGATTCACATATTTTTCTTTATTTCACTTAACCACTTTGAAACACTTTTTTGGGCACTGGTGATGAATATAAACATTGTTAATTCAATATTGTCTGTAAGAAGTCAATAGAGAAGTGATGTTTTATATTACATAGATTGCATAACTGTGTAGTGAAAGGAGTCAGTAGTTAGTAGAACCAAATGTCAATATAAGGTATCTAATTTAAAAAAAATCCCAGTTATTTTCAATCATTGTGGATAGATACTGATTCCGTGTCTGGCATTGGCATAATACTTTTTTTTTTTTTCATATTTCTATGCCAAGCATAATTGAAGTCATTCATGGTCGAGCCTTTTTTGCAAATGTTGTGCATTTATTCGAAGACATAGGTCTTTTGGCACTTTTGCTATGTCTTTGTTCCCCTGTAGATTAACACTGTTACCATCTGGAGACTTTGCAGAAAGACTGCTGATGGTGACATAGCTGCTGGAGGTCTGTTGGCCACAGAGATAGGTAAAGGTGAGAGATTTACTTACCTGAAACTGTCCTTCATGAGCTCGGCTATCCTTCCCTGGCGGGACCTCTTCAGCTCCTGGTGCTTCATGCGCGAGAGTAAAGCAATGAGGTCTATGAGGATGCCGCAAGACAATGGAATCCACCTTAGGCAAAGCCAATTCCCTGCAAGTGTCACTGGTGACGGCTGAGGGGATTAACACTTCTGAACAATATTAGTTCTGCACATGGTCTAGAATTGCCAAGAGTAGGAAAGATACAGAGACAAAGTAGTCCCTATTCTGTCTCATTATATCTCAAATACGACAAATAGAACTTTTGTTCTGCTACCCCATATTTATACTTTAGACAATTCTAATAAAAGAAAACAAATGAACCCCTTCCCGACCAAGGACGTATCAGTTACGTCCGACAAAAAAACAGTCCTTAAGGACCGCAGACGTACCTGATACGTCCGCGGGAAATTAGAGCACTGGAAGCGATCATGATAGCTTCCAGCAGCTCTAATGGTATTGCAGTGATGCCTCGATGTTGTATATCCCCTTAACGACCGTGGACGTACTAGGTATGTCCAAAACAAAACAGTCGTTAAGGACCACAGACTATTTGTACGACCCTGGCAAATAGGAGCCCTGGACTTACCTGGACCGGTGATCCGCGGCGATCGCGATCGGGGGGACTGACGGAGATCCCAGCAGTTCCCCTGCAGCAGCTCCGGCCTCGCTGGCCCTCCAGGGCCATGTGATCACCATGATCACATCGCCGCAATAGGAGTCTAGGAGCTGCCAGCAGGGGACTGTCGGAGCTGTCAGACAGTCCCCCAGGCTACTAAAAAGTTTAAAAAACATTTTATAATATATTATACATATATAATGCATATATATGATTTCATTATAAGTGTACTATGAGATATATACATATATATCTAAAAAAAACACTTAAAATGAAATCATATATATGAATTATATATGTATAATATATGTAAAATGCTTTCTTTCTCTGGACTCTGCCTCTTCCCTTCAACCACTCTCTGTCGGCGTCCCCCAAGGTTCTGTCCTTGGTCCCCTACTGTTCTCTATCTATACTGCCTCCCTTGGTAAACTCATCAGCTCCTTTGGTTTCCATTATCATTTCTATGCAGATGACACTCAAATCTATCTGTCATCTCCTGATCTCTCTCCGCCCATCTTGACTCATGTCTCTGACTGCCTCTCTTCGATTTCCAACTGGATGGCTACTCACTTCCTTAAACTCAACCTGTCCAAAATAGAACTTCTGGTCTTTCCTCCCTTAAGTGTTACTACTCCCGAGTCTGTCTCCCTCCAAGTAATCGGCGCTACCATAACCTCTACCTTGAAGGCTCGCTGCCTGGGTGTTCTTTTTGACTCTAACCTCTCCTTCACCCCTCATGTCCAATCAATCACCAAATCCTGTCACTTCAATCTCAAAAACATAGCGTGCATTTGCCCCTATTTAACCCCAGATGCGGCTAAGATGCTGGTCCAAGCTCTTGTTCTCTTTTGCCTTGACTACTGCAATAACCTTCTCAGTGGTCTTACGTGTTCCCAGATTGTACCGCTGCAATCTATAATGAATGCGGCTCATTTTCCTGTCCACTCGTACCTCCCACGCCTCCCCGCTCTGTCAGTCCCTGCATTGGCTTCCCTGCACTTGCTTACATAATGCTGCTCCAACCTACCTATCCTCCCTAATACACAAGTATGTCCCGTCGAGGCCCCTACGCTCTGCCAAAGACCTACGTATATCCTCTGTCCGTACACCCACCTCTAATGCTCGCCTCCAAGATTTCTCCAGGGCTGCACCTCTTCTGTGGAACTCCCTTTCCTTCTCCATAAGACTTTTACCCAGTCTCCACTTATTCAAAAAATAATTGAAAACTCACTTCTTCACGAAAGCATATCAATTAAACTGTTAGCAGGTTTTTATCCCCCATCCCCCATGACTCCTCTCCTGTAACTGTCAAAAATTACCTACTAAGCCCTCAATTAATACTTTTCTAACAACTTACTTCATACCCCTACTTTTACCCTTTGTGTCACTATACCCCACTCCCTCTAGAATGTAAGCTCATTGAGCATGGCCCTCCACCTTCCTGTTCCTGTACGTCCAATTGTCTGGTTACAATGACTTGTCTGTTAGTCCACCCATTGTACAGCACTACGGAATGTGATGGCTATATAAATAATAAAATAATAATAATAATAATATATAGGAAAGTGTGTGTATCTGTATATGTGTGTGTATACATACATACATACAAACAGTGGTGTATCCTGGTTTTGTGCTGCCCTAGGCAGGACAAAACTCAGGCGCCCCCCACCCCCACCCAACCCTTCCCCCCGCCCCACCTTCTAAATACACACATACACAGTCAGACACATACACAAACACACACACACACAGTCAGACACATACACAAACACACACACACAGTCAGACACATACACAGACACAGTCAGACACAAACACACACACAGTCAGACACACACACACACACACACACATACACAGTCAGACACAAACACACACACACAGTCAGACACACACAGTCAGACACAAACACACACACAAACACACACACAAACACACACAGACACACACAGTCACATACACACACACAGTCAGACACAAACACACACACACAGTCAGACACATACACAGACACAAACACAGACACAAACACACACACACACACACAGTCAGACACATACACAAACACACATACACACTCACAAACACACACAGTCAGACACAAACACACACACACATTAACTTTTTTTTTAATTTAAATCCCCCCCCAGCCTCCTTACCTTTGGGAGTGCTGGGGGGGAGGGGGGGTCTCTCTCCCTGGTGGTCCAGTGGCTGCAGGGCGGGCGGCGCTGGCTGGCAGGCGGGCGGGCGGGCGGCCGGCGAGGGAGCACTTCCCATGAGCTGACTGCTCAGCTCCCTCGCGCGTCGGCTGCAGAGTGAGGCTGGGAACCGGAAGATGACGTCATCTTCCGGCTCCCAGCCTCACTTTGCGGTGCGCGAAGGAGCTGAGCAGTCAGCTCATGGGAAGTGCTCCCTCGCCGGCCGCCCGGGATGTCAGTTAGCCGCAAGGCTAACAAGGCATCTGCCCTGGGCATTTGGGGGGCGGCGTTTTTTGCCGCCCCCTGAAAAATGCCGCCCAAGGCAAATGCCTTGTTTGCCTCGCGGCTAATACGCCCCTGCATACAAACGTATTGTGTGTGTGTTTGTGTATATATATGTATGTATGTGTGTATACATATATATAATGGAAAATTTATTCATACTTACCGTAATTTTCTTTTCCTGGACATGGCCATGGCAGCATAACCTTGGGTAGCTCCTCCCTATCCCAATTGAACAGGAATAATAATTAACCCCTTAAGGACAGAGCTTCAAAAGCTTGTCTTTCACTTAATGACAACATCATTTTTTTTTCATTTTTTGCTGTTTGCTTTCAACTGCAATTTGCATTTTACTAATTTAGTGCACCAACACATATTATACATCGTTTTTTAAAGGACAGAAAGGGCTTTAATTTGATGTAACACACATATATATAAATGCTTATTTATTATAAAAAA